CTCAACCTCAGGTCCCCGCGAATCTGAGCGAAAGGTTCCTATGAGACCTCAGCCTCAGGTCTCCGCGAAGCTGAACATGAGGCTCCTATGAGACCTCAGCCTCAGGTCCCCGCGAATCTGAACAAGAGACTTTTGGGAGATCCCAGCCGAATCGGAGCCTGGTACGATATCGGACAGGTACCTGGTGCGATACCAAACATGTCTAAAGATCCCGAGACCTCTTATCCGAATGTCACGAGACCTGTTATCGAAAGGTCTCGAGACCTCTTATCGAAAAGTCCTGAGACCTCTTATCTGAAGGTCACGAGACCTCTTATCGAAAGGTCCCGAGACCTGTTACCGAAAGGTCCCGAGACCTCTTATCCAAAGGTCTTGAGATCTGTTATCTCTTATCCAAAGGTCTTCTGTATTGAAGACATGACCTTTGGATACGATACCTGACCAGAACCTGGTATGTTACGTGACAGGTATCTGATACGATACCTTCCCAGAGCTATGGCTCACCAAACAACGGAGGCTCCAACGCACTGATCCCGGAGCTTCAATGCACTGATCACCGCTCAGAGCAACAGCTTTCGGCCTTCGGTTGATGCTCAACCCGATCAGACTACCACTGGAATAACTAACCCAAGGTTCTCCAGTGAAAACCAGCTCCGGGGTAACAGCCCCGGAGAACCCTCAGCGTCAACCCGCTCTGAATCAATCGGAGGCTCAGCTATCTGAGATCCGCCGAATGATGGTGCAGTTAGTAGAAAGAGCTCAAGAGAATGAGCGCACGTTGCAACAGCTAACTGCTCAGCAGCAACGATTCGAAGAGCACTGCTCCAGATAGGCAGGGACCTTTTCTCCAGACACCCTATGCTGGAACAGCTCCCGCATTTAAGCCACCTGTAACCAGCGCTATGGGAAGTAACGTAGCGACAGAGACCTGTTCTCCAGATAGGCAGGGACCTTTTCTCCAGACACCCTATGCTGGAACAGCTCCCCCATTTATGCCACCTGTAACCAGCGCTATGGGAAGTAACGTAGCGACAGAGACTTGTTCTCCAGATAGGCAGTGACCTGTTCTCCAGACACCCTATGCTGGAACAGCTCCCACATTTAAGCCACCTGTAACTAGCGCTATGGGAAGTAACGTAGCGATAACCAGCTCTATGCTCGATCGGGTTACTGACCAGGGCACACGCTTGCCACCTCCTCCACCTGTTTTCAGGTTCGGAGAAGGAATATCCTTTCCTTCTGGGGGCAGAACACCGACTTCGGCTTATCGGACTGGAAATGTAACCCTGCATCTGGGCGCTCATTAATGAGCGGGAGCTGACCTCGCAGCTCACCCCACTGGTGACACTCATCAAAATAACCCAGGAGCTAGTGAGCAATTTAGCTAGGCGGCTGCCTGGAAGAATGACCAAACTCGACTCCGTCAGGAACCTGTCAGTCAGGTACCTAATAATGACCCAATTGTCCTTCCTCTAGAGGGACCTAAGGTTATTCGCAGATATATGGAGCAAACTCATGCAGCTCTCCAAAAGTTGAATGCTCAAGCTCACAAAGCGACAAGCTCAACTCCCGAAATTGAGAGTTTGATTGAGGAAACCCGTGGAACCCCATTCACGGACAGAACCGCTAGCTCTTACATAAGAGATACCCAGAAAATTAGGATTCCCGAGTACGATGGGACCTCAGATCCTAAGGCTCATTTGAGAGTCTTCCGATTAGCTATCGTGAATGCTCATTTTACGAGAAAGGAATGGAACGTAGGTTACTGCAGAACATTCGCCGAAAACCTGGTCGGAACAACTCTCGAATGATTTTCCGGCCTCGAGCCGAACTCAATAGACAATTTCGACTAGCTGACCAATGCCTTTATGAAGCAGTATTCGACCCATATCCTCAAGCAAGCTTCCGAGGCTGACCTCTGGTACAAATCAGAATTCTGGTCCGAGCTAACGCTCAATCCTCCCCAACTATCGACGATGCTCTTCATAAAGCATCCAGATATATCACCTGAGAAGGAAACAGACTCGCCACCGCCAGCTCCCAAGAAAAGAGTTGACATGATTCTTGGGAAATTTTCCCAAGGGAAAATTATACAGATCGAGACCCTCCTAAGCAAACCACCACCTCAGTCGAGCCCCAGTTCGAGGGTGGATTATATCCT